GAGAGAGAGAGGGAGGAAGAGAGAGAGAGAGAGGGAAGATAGAGAATATGGACGGAGAGAGAGAGAAGAGAGAGAAGTCACCATAGTAGACAACAGAAGGGGTGGATGCAGAAAACCGGACAGGTCATCACGGCATACATTCATCTTTTCTCTCGACTGGACGCTGGACATTCGGAACCCATTTGAGGGCCGAGGTCTTTAATTGTGGTGAAGAAAAACTTCGGCAATCACGAATCAGTGCGTAATAACGAACCACCCATCGCCCTCGAATGATAAATGATATTCTCAGAGACACCCTTAAGATTACAGTTCTTAACAGTCATTTTAAACCAAGATACAAAAAAGAAAAGACAAAAAATGTTATTATTTATTATCTACTGTATTAACTGAAGCCAAGAGCAATTAAACAGACGCATTACAGAGCAAAGGAATGGATATATTGCTCAAGTACTATGTACTAGTATGGGAGCTAGATTTTCCTACCGTCAGTGCTTTGAAACTTAGTGTGACAAAAATGCGTGCTGGAAGAGGGGGGGGGGGTTTAACACCAGCACTCTGAAATTCACAGTGATAGAGAACGCACGCTGGTAAGAGGGGGGGGATTTAATTCAGTACTCTGAAACTCAGGGTTGAGACAAAAGTCAGCAAGTAAACTCCCTTTGCCAACGCACCTGACAAATATTACACGCTTGGAAGTACGTGGAAATATGCACATATTTTACTGGCAGCCGTGGCGCAAGGGTAGAAAATCCTACCACACCATAGCAACAGTAATTCGTTCTCACAGTGACTGTGGGAGCAAGGGACGTTTTACCTAGAAACCCTGCACCTGTCGATATACAACATCATTTTCTACTCCGCAGCAGGACTTGGGGCAAATTTGTTGCAGCTAATTAACTTGGGCAAACCAAGTTTATGTGTGTATGTGTATATGGACAGCTACATTAGCTACATGTAGATCGGTAAGCCTGCTCCGTATGTGTTGGTTATTTATGTGTGAGTGAAATTCCACATGGCTTTTTTTTTACCTGCAAACTCAGCGGTTAATATTTCCTTTGCTATTTTTTTACTGTATGAAACTTTTGGGAAACACGATGAAGACGGTTTGTCAACAATAATGTTTATATGCATGTAGAAAAGTTATAAAAAGAAGGAGTGACTGCACTTTCGTTCCAGCATTAATCCGGAAAGATGCATTACTGTCTTTTTAAGTGGATGGATAGGGGAAACGAAGGTTGTGTCTGTTACCTGGTGATATTATTTTGGGATAATTGTTCACGGGATGGGTGCAACTTATGATTTCTTTGTGTTAATGTGTTTGTGTGTGTTTGAGAGAGAGAGAGAGAGAGAGAGAGAGAGAGTGTGTGTGTGCGTGTGTGTGGGTTTGTGTGCGGGAGAGAGAGAGAGGAAGTGTGTGTGTGTGTGTGTGTGTGTATGTGTATATGTATGTGCGTGTGTGTGTGTGTGTATTTGAGAGAGAGAGCGAGGGGGGTGCGTGTGTGTGGGTTTGTTTGCGGGAGAGAGAGAGAGAGAGAGAGGAAGTGTGTGTGTGTGTGTGTGTGTGTGTGTGTGTGTGTGTGTGTGAGAGAGAGAGAGAGAGAGAGAGAGAGAGAGTCAGGGAGAGAGAGTCGGTCGTCTGTTGGTGACTACAATTATATATTTCTTTTACTGAAAATTCAGTGGATTGCATCGACTGCTTTTAATTCTACTCCGTGTTGTCTTGCATCTTGACAAATTCCAAAATCCTCCAATAAGATAAGTTCTAGAGTTTCCTATAAACAAAATTGGGAAAAAGATCCGGTTGGGTTGAATAGCTCCAATGTAAGTCTCTAAAATATGCAACACACTTGTTGCTCAATTACTAGTAGTTAATGTGTCTGTGCAACCAGCAACTGTATAACTCATAAAAAAAGAGAAATTTACGCCAGAAATGCATGGGGCACGCGCCAAAGATAGCAACCGCAGAAACAAACGACCCGACCCCAATGTTTCGCACACCTGCAAAAGCGTGCTAGTATGTAAGAGTATCTCTGACAATATACCAGTATTCTTTTGCTACGTATAATGAAAATAATATCAAAATATTTATGAAACACTATATCTTCATGACAAACGGAGACACAGAGGCTTCTACCGGTATAACAGAGTAGTTAGAACACAGGTCTTGTCAACCACTGTTCGTGAGTTCGATAGCGGCTTAGAACTACCCTCTACCAGGGTGGCAGATTATATAGGGAAAAAACGGAAAAATCCAGACCAAAATGACTGTCTATTTATGTAGAGACATATCTGTGAATATTTGTGAAAAATCAATCTGTCGCCCTGGTAGATGGTAGCGTAGAACTGTCTTGAGCGTATCATTTTTAATTCTCTGGAGTGATTGCATGTCCTCCTGCAGTACTATCTTTTCAATGTTTATCACTACCTCTGCTAAAGAGGTTATCTCGTTGTTTCCGTTGGCACGTTAGATAACCGTCTTACGTAACGTATTTCCCTCTCTCAATAATGCAAAAAAGAAAAAAAAAACTTCAAGGGAATAATGGATACTTTCTGCACCTATTCTCTGCAAACGCTTTCCTATATATATACGTACACGTATGACCTTCATTTCCAAAAGGAAACAAGAATAGCCTTTTTCTGTCCAGGTGGCGTTTTTTTAATACAAACAGTAGTTTCACGTGACAACATACACGAATCTGCAGCAGGTGTGGAACATTATAGCTGTCACCCAAAAACTGTGCAAGAATGTCGATGACGTCATCGTTTACACAAACGTAACCGGCGACGTTCTTTCTTTATTGCCCCCGCAAACGGAGGAACGGGGTTTCGGTTTTCATTGGCGTTGATTTGTTAAAAATATTTTATCACTTTAAAAAAGTCCTTGATAAATTGTTAACTTGGATTATTCTGGGATCGGGGATTGGAGGATTGGGGGGGGGATTGATTATTATNGGTGTGGAACATTATAGCTGTCACCAAAAAACTGTGCAAGAATGTCGATGACGTCATCGTTTACACAAACGTAACCGGCGACGTTCTTTCTTTATTGCCCCCGCAAACGGAGGAACGGGGTTTCGGTTTTCATTGGCGTTGATTTGTTAAAAATATTTTATCACTTTAAAAAAGTCCTTGATAAATTGTTAACTTGGATTATTCTTGGAAGGTTGGGGGGGGGGGGTTGATTATTATTTCAACTGAAGCTGTGTCATCTTATATTCTTTAGAAAGGAGGTATGCGAGCTAGACGTGCTGTTCGGCTATCACTGTCACTAAGAAGAATGAATAGATGTGTATTAAGGCATGAAAGTTTTATCTCTAAAATATATATATATATATATATTTTTTTTAAATTAAAAATACATATTTAAACTGTATCGAGATAAAGAGTTAAATGCATTTTTTCTGTGACTAGTACCGAATCTTTATAAATAAAATACATTATACATAACAGGCCCGTAGCCAGAAATTTCAAAAGGGGGGTTCGTTTTCTGAAAAAGTGGACCTTTTCCCATGAAAACTTCATGTACCTAGATCAAATTTTACCCAGAGTGGTCCTTTTCCCAGCAAAAGGGGCGGTTCTTTCGAACCCCCCCCGAACCCCCCTGGCTACGGGCCTGCATTATAAATAAATATGAAGATATAAGTAACTGGCCAGCCGTATGGGTTCCCAAGGTCACCAGCCATAGGATATAATAAAGAATCTGACATTTAATCACGTTTGCGGTCTATTTACATGTACCAGACCTCGTACACCACATGAGGTGTCACAGGGGACACGAAATGTTCGGGTGACACTTGCGGTAGCAAATTAAAGGTCGAAAGGTCAACTCCTTCCATTCCTCGCATCAAAATCTAACAAAAGTTAAACCGGTGTGACGGGAATACAAAACGTTAAAAACAAATTTCGGACGAAAGTTCCTTTGTGAAGACAGGCATGATTATCATAGGAATGGAAGTCCGGGGTCTCATATGATTAGTAGAGGTTAGGGTTACTCATAGTATTGGGGTTAGTATATGGGACGAATGTCACCTGTACAACGTAATGGGGAAGCGGACTACGGTTTCTAGCGGATAATCATTCCTGTCCCATCGGCAAATTAAACCTGTTTAGGATGACTGCAGTGACATCTAACGGACAGTGTTGTGACCAAGGTCCAGCAAATAGACCGACAGCTTGAGTAACTTCCGGAAAAAAACATACAGTGAAAATAAGTTTTCACTTTTATGGATGTTCACGTGTCCTGTATTTGATTTGCATAATACATCGTGCATGTATGATGAGTGACGTTTGACATGTTATATTAACCTAAATTTCTAATTTATGGTACTAAGTAGGCTTCTGTTTCTCCACATAAAAAGTGGAAAACAGTAACAATTTGCATATGAAGATAATGTCTTCCACAGTCAAGTTAAGACAGATAATACCGGCACACAGCTCACAAAGTCAGGTTAACCGCTTGTAAATCACACAAAATGCGGTTTAATATGTAAAAATGTTGTCTAGTGAACGTTTTATATGAAGCCTGAGGAAATCTGATAACGTTGACTGGGAGGTGCAGGTAAATGTCGCCATCCAGGATGATTTTGAATAAATTCTACATTTGTGTCTTTTAGGAACCAGAGACGACCTGCACATGGTTATCTTGTTCGCAAGTGTAGGGGCCTATTAAAAATAAGTATAAAAATAACCAATTAGTCTAAAATATATCGAACTTTTTGATCAACATAACAATATTAATCTACAGCATGGACCAGAGATAAATCATTGAATGAAATGGAAAATTGCACCTGTTATACAGTATATACTGGTAAATAACAAGAAGGATATTGGTAATGTTTCAGACATATATATTTTATATCCCCCCTCTCCCCCATTTTATCCTTCGCCTGACCACATAGCTCATGACCCCCGAACTGTTAATGGGTCGTTATTTGTACTGTTCCCAAAGCAGCAAGCAGTCAGAGGGAGGTTGGTGCTATAACCCGTGGATATATCTACCAGGAATGCAGTAAATTACTCATAAAATAAGAAACGGCGTGTAATAAATCAACCGTTATGGCGGTCTGTGTGTGCGAATTGCAGTCTCTTAACGGGCTTCACAAATAAAGTCATTGATTTATAGCTAATACTATTTATTTGTTAATTTACTTATTTATTCCTTTTTAAAATATTTTAGCTATATTTTATTATTTTTTTCGCGGCGTTAAATCCGTTTGGCCAGTTTCTCGTAAACACAGTGTATCCCACATCCTGTCGAAGACGTATTCTGAGTGGGGCCTATATTGTTTATTGTCCATAGAAATGATTTATGACATTTGCGGTAATTCCATCATGCATAAACCTACATATACCTGGGTGTATATAATCTGCACACCCCTATCTCCGGTGTCATTGTTGAAATGTCACAGAGTTTGTCTGAGGTCAAAAATTGTAAGGCGCATTTTCATTGCGGCTGGGACGGTCAAAAGTAGAAAATACAATTTCTTTCAAAAGATGAAGACTGTTATTTCTAAACACGCGAGACAAATATTAATCTAGCGAGCTTTCGACAGAGTCTCTGTCCTCTCTGTAGCCCTTTAAAGTTTTGACATTTTTAATAATCAACAAATCAAATCCATGCATAAGCCAATAACTATAAATATTGCATCTTTTTTTTTCGTGAGAGTTATCCAATATTATACCCCAAGCTGTCCCAATCACGGTCTAAATAGCATTTGCTCATTTTAATGTGTTGGCGCTGAAATTATTTTCTCAGCTTCGATGGACATGATGGGTCTGTGCGGCGAGTATTATTTCACACGCTAATGTTGATGTTGTACTATGTGTCTAAGAATTATTTTGGTGCCAAAAAATGTTGGCCTTATGGATAACTCATAAATACTTTGAAACCGTCTTATCAATTTTTAGCCAGGTTTCCAACTAAAAAAAGAATATAAAGGCCATTAAATTCCCCATATCCTGTTTTCAAAGGTGACACGTACATGTTTGTTATTACAATTTCAAAGACTCATCTCAGTACAAAATCTACTTTCGTTTCACTGAAACATACATCCTGTAAGGACGGATTTTTCCAACGGAAAATATGAATCACCTGCACGTGGAATTGTTCGTCACATGTCGCATCACTTGGCTGAGTGCATGGCATCGTGTCACAGAGTTTATTTGTCATGCTAATATCTGGGTGACTCGGTATGTTTAATAACCATTTAACCCGTTCTCCCCTACGTGGAACATATTATGGGACAATTCCTATAGCCCTATTTTACTAGCAGGATCGATCTATCTCAGAGGGTATTCTGGATGAATTGCATTCAGTTTAATCGTGCACGAAAGTTAATTACCCCACTAGCAGCTTCAGTGGGTGAGACAGCCATTTAAGACACTTAAACTGAATTCAGTTTAACGAGAATCCCCTCGGAGTTAGATCGGTCCTGCTACTGCAGTGGGTTTATGGGAACTCAATCTTAGAAATAGCGGAAACTGCACTTGATTTACAGTGCATCTGTGAGATATATTGCCATTCCTATGTAGCTTTTTTACAAGTAATTGTGGTAATTATACATGTAGACTCCTTGCTCAGATATCCATTACTTACAATTTTTTTATATAAAAATTCCTCGCGTACGTGCCGGTCTTGGCGTACAGTGAGGGTTCAACCTTTATATGGCAATTTTTCCTGGAAAGCTAAAACCATTTCCCTTTAAAAAACAAGGTATATCATATACAAAATACCCTACGGTGTTCTTGTTCAACCGGTTTTGTGACATTGTTAAATCCTGTTGATAATCAGCGTGATAATTTGTGGATTCATGTGCCGCTCCTTAAAATATTCCACATGCATTTCCTTATTTTGCTTAATCTGAATTTCGTGGATTGTTCTTATGTCAGAAGCACAAGGCACTTGTTCTTTTAATGGTAGGCTGTATTATTTTTTATTCTACTGTTTCCTTTTTCTCCGTTATACATAATTCCAATTTGCTTTATGTATTTGTTTTTTACAAATTATCTAATTTATTGATTTATTTTCAGTAACGCACTATGGCCACAAAATCAGGAAACCACGTAAAAGGGCACCACCATCACCACAGAAATCAAGATGGCGCCACAGATGAAGAAATCCCACCCAATATCCGTACTCACTCTCTGCCTTCTTCTGGAGACGGCGACGGTGAGATTTTCAACACGCCGTTTGAGGGCAGCACTACCATCACGACGACCACAATCCGAAGCAGCTACAGTTCCTCTGGCGATGGCGCCCCTATCATAAAAACGACAGAAGAGAGGTCGGTGACCAAAGGCGGACATCCGCCGACGAGTCGCAAAAGCGTGAAAAAAAGTAAGTTTCTGGAGAAAAATATTTTTCTAGACTGGAGCTTTTCGAAAGGAGCGTTGAAATATGAGGGTTTTGCAGGAGAAAAATATGGGCATGTTACTTGTCTTTAATCGCAAGGGCCAAAACATTTCTGAAACAGGGAATAGACGAAACCCTGAATATATTTTTTTCGATAACTGAGCATTTAGTTTTGGCTGATGTTTGAAAGCGCTTCATGCATACCGGTATGTTTGTTATTATATATTATTATATATATTTTTTGTTTAAATCTAACGCTACAGGTTCTACTATGTTGCGATCGGTAACTTGCTGAATAGAGAATTTTAAATGCATTTAAATTCTCCTTTTTTTTTCAGTCCCGTCCTCATCGCCACCATGCAACAAGCCTGACCTTGACCTTGGAGAACCCGAAATCGTCCCGCTAGAAGAAGGCATAACAGAGTACCCAATGGAGAAAATCTTCCCGAGAGAGGAAGTAGTGAAAATGGAGAGGGAGGTCGCAAGGACCAACTTCCTGGCCGAATCCGTCATCGCCACGGACGAACGCCTCCGTGTAAGCCCATGCACCTCCCAGCCGTACCAATGGATCTGCCATCTCAAAATGCGCGCCGCCAGCGGGCAGTACTATATCGGCACTGGCGCTTTCAGCACGATGCTAGGTCCTGGCCAGCCCGCCATTATTCTAACCTGTGCCCATAATCTCTACATGAAAGAAGAGGGCGGATACGTCACGAGCGTCACCGTCTACCCGATGCGGGACTCCTACAAGGCCCCTTCGGGTCAATTCACGGTCGGGCGAGAAAATTTCCGATGTCGAGAGGCTTTCGTACGGTACAACGACTCCATGGAAGACTTCGCTGTCATCTTCGTCCCCGACTCGCAGCGCTATTTCAATTCCGACTTCGGCTTCGGTTACGACATTCTCTCCGATTTCGATCTCCAGAACCGCGTGGTGACCATTGCCGGCTACCCAGGCGACAAACCGTCGGGCACCATGTGGATAGCAGGCGGTAAAATCAGAAATAGCCAGAAGAGGATGATCCAATATGACAATGACACGAAAGGAGGCCAAAGCGGAAGTCCGGTGTGGACCTGGAGCCGATATAATTGGATGATGATCGGTATCCATGGTTACGGCGTGGGCTCCTACAACGCGGCGCGTAGAATTAACTATGAATTCGTTGAGCAGGTTTTGGACTGGGCTAAGGAGTACAAAAGATGGTAAATAGATAACTTTTAGGCAACGCTTTGGCCTCTTACTCTACATGTTCAAGACCCCCGACATCACACAGAAGGATCTGGAGTAATTTAATTAGACTTAATTGATTAAACGTTTAATTGATGAATCGATTAAACGTGGACAGGGCTACAGATTAGAAAAGGGACAGATAGTTTGCATTTTTAGCGGTTAGATCTACGCTTCCACAAAGGCTGCACGCAGAATAAACACGTCGACTGTTGGACTCAGATAGCAATGCACACACAATGAATGGTTTAAAAACTTACTGAACACATACATATTGTTACTGGTATCCTCTCGTATATATATATACGCAACAGCATGAACCTAACGCAGGGCGCATAGCGATGAGTGTAGAGGGACGTCAGTCCAAATACGTTACAGAGACACATAGACAAAAACCACGGACTTTAAAAAATGATGTGATACGTGAATATTACTTGTTGAATATCTAGTTTGAATATGTGGTTGTGATATTGTGTGACATGGACGTAAGGAAAGGTAATGGAAAGAACCACCACGTTTTGAAGGGTATCTGAATGCTAGGATTAATGTAAGGTAGCTGCACAGAACGAAAGTCCCCCTTTCACTATAAAACAAGAAGAGGACCATAGGGAATAAGCCCCTCATAACTGATTAATATATTTTAGTTGAAGTTATCATTTGTTCGTGGCTTAGATATACTGCTTATTAATTGTGATGCAAAAGGCAAGAACTGTTTTTTGATTGATCGGTCAATTTATTTATTGATTTTAATTTTGTTTCAGTTATTATTATTTATTTTATTTTATTTTATTTTATTTTATTTTATTTTATTTTTGACTGAATGGTTTTAGACTGAAACCTGCGACCCAAGCCCCGTAACTCGAAACATCGCGTATTGCGAATAGCAATATTACCTGGAGGCTACAATGTATTATATGGGGCGAGTATGAGTTACGGGGCCCTGGTTATAAAGGGGAACTGAAAACCGAAAACCAAGCCTGTTCTCTGCCTGTTTCTTTTATGTTGTGCACATTACGAATTTTTGGGTGATTTTGGTGCAAAAGTGCAAAATATTTATATCATACCAACGCTGCTTGTTGGTAGCTATAGTTGAGTTAATTGTGTTTAAGAATAGATTAGTAGGCTGTGTAGGACTCTTGGGTCTAGATGAGGAAGTTACATTGTAGTTCGATCAATGTTCAGGGCTGGATACACCACTCACAATAATAGAACTTTAAAAACGAACGATGCTTACATGGAACTCCAATGTCCGTAGACAATTTTAACTACTTTAAAAACTTTACATTTGCTATGGCCATCTGCTAACGTCACTTGGACCCAAACCAGTTAAGATCTTCATCTGTGTGAACGCACGCTGCTTCTTTGCATACTTTATTACTGTTAATATTATCTTTATGGTTCATATTATATACATATGTTCTTGTTCATTGTTAATCTCTGCCAATGAGCCACAAGTAAAAAATTCTTTAACGGATGTCTTTGCATGACACCAAACCGAAGACCGTGTTATTCGTTTTTAAAAGCGACTGAAATCTGTTCTCTTCTCATACATTATCTTTTATTTTCACTGCCATGTATTGCCTGTGTGAAATAGAAGGAAACTGTGTGTGTATATGCGCGCGCGCGCGTGTGTGTGTGTGTGCGAGAGAGAGAGAGAGAGAGAGAGAGAGAGGAAATGTGCGAAAGAGAGATAGAGAGAGAGCGAGAGAGAAGGAGAAAGAGTGAGTGTGAGGGAGAGAGAAAGAGAGATCTAGAGAAGTTTGTGTATATGTGAGAGACAGAGAGTGAATCGATGTGTGTTGTTTGTGAGTGAGAGAGAGTGTGCGTGTGCGTGCGCGTGAGAAAGAGAGAGAGGGTGTGTGTGGGTGGGTGAGAGATGAAGAGAAAAGTGTTTTGTGTCTGTGAGAGAGACAGAGAGAGATATTGTATATGTGATAGAGAGAGTGTGTGAGAGAAAAGATATGTGTGCAAGTGTGTGAGGAACAGAGAGAGGGGTTGAGGTATATCTGCCACATGAACGGTGTAGTATCTAGGGAAATGACTGATTTGTACATGAAACAATTGATAATACAAGATTTTCTCACCAAGCCTTGAAAGGTTTTGAATTGAGGGAATGCCGTGGTGCAAGGCTGTTCAAATACATTTTTCCAAAAGTGGTATTTGCGTACTGGAGACCATCCATAATAGTCTGAGAGATCCTTAAAAAGTTAACGATAGCCCCTAGTGAGGATCGAACTCAGGACCCCTGATTTACAAGACCAGTGCTCTAACCACTGAGCTATAGAGGCTCAGGCGAGATGTAAAATATTCAAACAAAAATAATCCGTTAATATTTAGATTTTTCATTTCAATATATGTAGGAAAAGAATATACTGCCAGGCGGCCTTTTCACAAACTAATATATTTATATATATACGCAGGTGTGCAAAACATTCGAGTTGGAAGCTTTTTCTGCGGTTGTTATCTTTGGCGTTTGCCCTGTGCATTGCTGGCATGAATTTCACTTTTTTTGTGTGTGTTATTCAGTTGCTTCATGAACACACTTAAAAAATAGAGAATCTGAATAGAGATTATTTGAAGCCCTTAATCATGGAAGTATATCTATGCCCGTCTATCTACGATATAATTCCCTGACAGGGACGGATCCAGAGAAATTTTCTGACAGTCTTCCAAATTATCTTTGTTGATCCATCTTCCATTTTTGACCGTCTTCCGACAGAAAACATTAAATGGCTGACAATGTAAAGTTGAATATCTGACCGTCTTCCAGAAGACCCAGAAGACGGTCTAAATCCTCCCCTGCCTGATCTAATTCACGGTGCCATACATAAATTCTAGCCGGACAGTAAAGTGCATAGAACTAGCTAGTTAGCATATTTGTGAATGTCTGGTGAGACCCTCCAAGCCACGCCCCATGCATTTGGCTGCAGTGACATAAAAGTAAAAATAAATTCATAAAACTATAGCCGAAAGTAAACCAAGCGACCAACAAGTCATATCTGACGATTCAAAATATTCCATTGTTATTTTGTACTTGAAATACTGAAAAACTACCTGTATATTTAAAGGTCGAGTGCTTCTAGTCAAACATTAGAAGGTATACGGAAGAAGATGTATAGGAGAGTGATAAACAGACATGCACCCAAAGGTTTTTTTCCACTTATTTTACAACTTTCTGTCATGTACGTGTCCTTCAAGCTTTATCTGTTTGACTAACCACGAAAGGATACTTTTTTCTTTCAGTAGAGATATCTGCAAATGTTTACAATGACAAGCGCAGTGAACTACACTTAAACGCCGCTGTAGTTCAATCAAGAAGTTTTCAATAATGAACGACCTGTCTTGCGTCGGTTCTGGAGCTCAGAAGTGACTATATTATTTAACATAGCAGCTGATAGTTTTTTTTTTTTCAGCCACTTTCATGTTTGCTAACGGTAACATTCACAGAAACGCTGGCTCGTCTTAATTAAAGACATCAGTGAAATCATCATTCATTAAAACCAAGTTTGTTTAATAGCAATTAAATTATTGGGGCACGGGTTTATCTTTCACAATTACAGTCTGTGGATACACGGAGCATTTCTCATTCAAGGTTGTTTGTCAGAGTTTCCTGTTGAAAAATACACGTGCGCACTTCTCATGTGGTTATGTGTTCAATCACTGCGCGTGCGTACCATGTCAACACTGCAGCAATGACCTTAGTGATAGAAATAAATAAAGTCAAGAAAACTTGCGGGTTCATCACATGAAATTGTTCCAACCGATTGACTTCGCCTGGGACCGTGAAATGTACTTATATATACACCGCCAAATACACTTTGCATTTCAGTTGTGCTGCGGGGGAAATAAATAAAAAAGTATAGTAACGTAATAAAGAGAAAACAACCGAGAAAATCTGGTTAACCTTAGAACGTAGCCATTTATTGTGCTTGGTGAATCAGGGCTCCGTATCTCGAAAGGTTCGCTATGTTGCGCACGTGCGCAAGTGTCTCGATTCCATGGCCCCGTATCTCGAAATAGAATCGGTTATGGAATCGAGACACTAACGCACGTGCGCAACATAGCGAACCTTTCGAGATACGGAGCCCAGGCCTCTGTTTGAGAAGCGTTTTGGAGAGTGCGGTGGCTGAGACGAGATGATTGCGTTAAGTGAGACAGTTCAGTGGGAAACTGCAAGTTACAGCTGATGTATGTAGCAAAGGACAGACATACATTGTAACAGAGATGTACACGTTAAACTAATAAATATATCAATAAATATATTATAAATGAATAATCATTTGAATGTATGAAGTAAAAAACAACAAAACTGTATCCTCCCCGACGGGGAATTGAACCCCGGTCTCCCGCGTGACAGGCGGGGATACTCGCCACTATACTATCGAGGACTGAATATTGTCTGAATTCATTCTATATACTATCTGGCATCTTTATAAATACATTTTTTGTTTTTATTTCTATCATTTCTATTTATACACTCACGGCCATCAAATAAAGTTAATGAAATGGTGTTGTAATCTTGAAAATCAGGTCCTTCGAAATACATGTACTTATAAATAGATATATACTAATACAATTATTGACTTTGCGTGAGGTCATTTCTACAAATTATTGATCCGAAGCGTATAATGACGTTTTTACAATAATTTAATTTTGCCTAAATGGTATTTCAAGCGTTAAAGGACTCTGTCATCCATGTATTTGGAAGAGGCGATTTTCCCTCACTTATAATCCTTTCCCCACTAGTGACCGGTTAAAATATTTGATTTACCGCAGAGCATAATTGAGAAAATAAAATAAATAACAAATAATCTTGGAAAGTTTTTAGGGACTCGATTGGCTGATATTAGGGAGACTGATGCGTCCGGAGAGGCGCCATCGCGGCTGTTGGAAGCTCTCCTGTCGGCACACCTGAGCCGGTGGGCAGGTAAACTTACCTGCGTCGCATGCGCAGTACTACAGTTATCACGATCAGTCTTGGTTTACAGCAACAATTACTTATCGAGTCACCTCAATTGGAAATATATTTGAAGCATCTATCTTAGAAACAAAAAGGGTTAAGGTGACCGTGTTATACATAACATTGGATAAAAAAGTGTGTCACCCATTTTGTATTGAAAACCTCGGTGTTTACAAGAATACAGAGATATTTGGTTAAAAGGAAGAAATCTAGTTTATTCCAAAACGATTGGAAGAAATAACCTGATACAATGGCACTTTTTCTCGTAATTTTCATTCCGTATTCTTTTTGCTTATTTCCAACACAAAGCGCTCTTTTTTTGTGACAAATCTTTTTCTTGCTACAAGACTACTGTATACTCGTGTAATGAATACTCGTGCCTTGGACATAATGTCAGTGTAATTATCAGTCTATTTGTGAGATATGTGAGCCTTGATCTCTATTTACGATGTTCCGTCAAACAAAGGCATTGTCTCTCCTATATACAGATAAAATAGAAGGCCTGAGCCGAAAAGATTCCCCTTCACTGATTGTAGGACTTAATGCTGTGATTATTTAGGCGTTACGACGGTGTTGATTGGTGTACAGGTGAGAGAGATCCATTAGAAATTTTAATCAAAACACAATTTTCAACACAAATATGCTATCGAAAACTATGTATCATATAACCAATTTAGTCAATTTGTTTGAAAACATCTACCCTACCCCCCCCCCCCTTGTTTCTTATGTATTGTAACGTAATGCACACAGTAAAATAGATGTTGGATGCCCAGATGGTGTGAGCATCTAAAAATTATTAAAATATAGGTAACGTAAATGAAAATTTACGTTACCTATATTATCTTTCTTATTATTCATTGAACTACTGTCCAGTTGCTACCCGCGAAGCTCTCTTCGCGGGTGTTCACACGAACACGTTTTAAACAAGTATTTATCCAGAGTTTATACATACTTTCTATCTCTGTGCGTCATGTTTTGACAATTATGTAACACTATAATGTATAGTATTAGGCCTACATACATGTGCATGTATCAGTACAGGGATGAAAATTTAGCACTATTTTAGATACATTTGTTTTTAATATATTTGCATCATAAAAAGTAAACAACCGTAATACTGTTATAGTGAGAAATAACGACAACGATCTGGAGCTTTCGAACGTTTATTCACCGACTCGCTTTTCATACAACTTCACAAATCTTTATACTCTATTTCTGCCCACTGATCATGCATTTGCTTGTTTTCTTTCCACTGTCTTTGCGTGGTTACAAGGAATTTTCCATTCGCATGTTAGAAGTCACTATGCAACATTTCCTTATTAGGTAATCCCTAAGAGACTTGTTTTCTATTAAAGATATCTAAAATATTATTTGGATTACTCATGCTTGGACTTTATCCGAAACTCAGTTATCATGTGATAAACAGTTGATCAAAATTAAAATATGTTATGAAATTAACCAATCACATAAACTGTTTCTGACTTTGACCCTTTCCATCTTTTTCTGACATTAAAAACATGTTCTACACTTGTTGACTCTTGATGAAACTTAACTTACACTCAATAACTCCCTATCCTTTTACTCGTTTGATTCAGTTTTAATTATTATCTGTAATTATTGAAAGTATAAGCCATTCGCTTTACAACAATACTGTCTATTATAAGCATTCAAATGCTACTATGATTAGATGACAGTTGTATGTTACTGTGGGTCACAAGAATGACAAATATCTTAAGCCTAGATTACATTTACACGGGCGCCGTGCGATGAAATTGTCAGTTACGTTTTTTTTATCTTTTTGAAATCGTAAGAAGCTACGGGCTGCACCGAATATGTCTACATTACATGGCCTTAAATCCGTACGATTCCGTGCGATTTCACTCGGCCACCGTCTATCTCCGCTCAGATGCCGTACGGAAAGGGAATTTCGGGCAGTATACGTGCACCGCACGGGCATCACATTTCAAATGTAATCTAAGCTTAAATGACCTATACTTATTTAAAGTTGGTAATATGTGAAGGAAGCGATGACGTTTAAAACGAGCTGATTGCGTCCACCGTGTACGTGGCAGCTTTGAAATACAAGAACCCTGAATACACCAATGAACATTAAATGTTAATATCCTAAATATTTGCCTTGCGTTATAACTTTTTTTCATTGAAAAATAACAAATATCAGCTTCAAAATTGGTAGCACTAATATCCATCAGCTTCGGGTTCGGAAACGCACGTTATGCTTCTCTAACTACACAACAGCTTAAAAGCTTTATTGTTCTGGAGAATAACAACTTAACTACACAACAGCTTAAAAGCTTTATTGTTCTGGAGAATAACACTTTAAGAAACGGATTTTTTTTAAAGGCGTGAACTTGGCAGACATGCAAAGACGGCAGTTGTCCCGGACTTACATTGTGTCGTGGATGGCGTTGAGGCAAATATGGCGGACCTGAGAAATGAAGATAAAATAGACGAATAAATGCAGAAAGGCGGAAAAGACGCTCCCATATCTGACCTTTATGAAGGAAAATTTTGACCCGAACACTTTTTAAGATAAAGATTTCAATATGCCCTTGGAGGTTATTTTGTGCTGTCTCTAGTCTGTCCCTAATTCTAATCAACAGTGGTCTCAGTTTTGCTGCCTCCGCTTGTGATAAACGTTTTATTTAAGTTTTACATACGTGCACAAGTTAGTGATACTTTTTCTTACGTTAACATATGGCGGGGCACTGAGGGCAAAGGTCACGGCGGCAGCGACATCGTCCGGTTGAAGACTCTGGCATGAAATAATTTTACATTGAAAATAGGGCGCATTTAGATTCATACATCGTAAAAGCTGGTTCGGTCCAACTCTGTAGGGGGTTCTCACTAAAGTGCAATCAGTGTAATCAGCTTTATCAGCACACCATAGTTTATTACTCCCTAGCTGCTCCAGGAGGCGTGTCAGACAATTAAGCCGACAACATCCCCAGCAGAATTGTACCATTCCAGCTAGTTCCATGTGTGAATCTGAATGCAGTCGTAGATCACTTATTAATAATTGATCATGTTAACTGATGTGGACATGCGTATTCGTTTGTTAGAACCATGTAAGTAAATTAATGAAACAAATTCTCTGGAAATATTATTTCATCTAATAAAAAAATGTAGTAAAATTTCATTTCAAGTTATATGAATCTACTTTTAAAATAGCAGTGTGCCCTTTATTTTGGTTTAAAAATCAATCCTCCAATCCTAAAATAATCTGAAAAGGCTTGTAGTAAATCTTAAAAGCTGAGTGGATTAAATCAAGCGTTTCGTTTATATGAGAGTTAAATGTAACATATCACAGACCTAGCATAAACCGGACACACTCTACAATAGGTCCAAAACGGTTGAATATTAAGCCGCAACAATTTATTGTAGCTTACATTTTCCTGGCAAAAGAAGCTGTCATCAAAATTTACTCTAGCGAGCGGAGTGTCGACCAATGCAGGGCTCAGGACCTAGTGACAGAGTATGATATTTTAATAACAGGATGTGAATATTGGTCTACATTAAGAAAATCTTTAATACTACACAGTTCAATCATATTACATAACCGCCAATCTATGAACGGGTAATATATATACGATCCTTTTATTCCAATTCCAAATGCCGTAAAATTTCTTTTACTCTGGTTTTTGCTTGACTATTTTAAATCTATTATTGAATTTGTGAAATACCGTCTGAACTGTTACAGCAGCTAAATATTTTGAGCCCAAATATTATTCTCTCTCTCTCTCTCTCTCTCTAATACCGTTGTCCGTATTTTCGTTTTCTGCTGTCTCAGCTCGAGGCGCAGGCCCTCTGTGAAAGCATTCAGGGCATACTTTGTTGGAGCATACATGTGGAACACGGTACCTTCGTGGACAGTATTTCCACATACACTGCAATACAATGAAATATATCATACAATATATACATGTACTCGTCAGCAAGGATAACCACGTATTATTCACGTCATAAAAGTATACAATGGCGACTACACAGTAAACAGAGAACGTTATTATAACGTTACCATAATGTTTATACAACAAAAGAAAAAAAAAACGTTATAAAGTGTTTGCCGGGTAGCTACCTTCTTCGACATAATAGTTTGAAATTATAAAGCCCCTGTACGTTACACCCGTTTTGCGACCTCTTGGAGCTGTTTTTGCCCATTCTCTCCATTTATCATCAATGAGCCAGAATTAGTTCTCGATAAGCCTTGGTGTTTTAGGTAGGGGGTTTGATGGTTTCATCTTGTTTGGGGTGCAATTTTAAAGTTTTCACTAATTAATTAATGGCCTGATCATTCCAGCTGTCAGTAAAACATGATATATATTCTGTTTAAAACTGGCGTATGTATTACCTGACAATGTTGATAATGTGCCCGTCATCCATGTTCCTTTCTTGTATGGACTGAATGGTCAGCTGGGAAACGGTGATGGCAGCGAATACATTCAACTGAAAAAAAAAGAGGTGCTAACAATTTGCTAGGACTGGACATCCATCTTGCCATTACATTTTGTCTATACTATGATACCCTTACTGAGGGCAAACATTAATCTCATTCAAAATTACTAATATGTTAGTCAGACTGACGACGCACACCAGTTGCACCCGGGTGACAAACACTTTTTTACGAAAATATCTTATTAAGTCATCTACTGCAATCAATCAACAGAGCAAAATAAGCACAAACTCAAGTAGATAATTGCAACATATATTACGACAGACATAAGCAGAATAAAGCTCAGTTTTTTGGAACTACATGCTTTATTTTCACCTGGATACTGGAACTAATAGAAATACGACTAACAGTATGCTGAAAACATATCAGTTGAGTTATCTTACATCAAACATTGTCTTGGTATCAGATAAAGGCCCTGTCTTGCAATCCTGGTAGAAGGCGACACCAGCGTTGTTAACACAAACATCGACACCGCCCAACTGTTCCTTGATTTTTTGAAACATGGACTCGATCTCTTCCGTTTTGGTAAGGTCGCACTTCATTGGAATCAAACGACCCTTTTCGCCCTCAAGTCCCGCGGCTGCTTTCTGGAATACAGATACATGTATTCAATCATCTTTTCATCCAAAGACAAAAGTTAATTTAACAGTTTTGTGATTATTAAACATCTTATTTAACTAAACGACTATTTGTTGGAGGTAAATGTTTGGGGGATGTCGGTAGTTTATACTTGCGTTTATCTATCCTACATCGCCGAACGTATCTGAGTTGTTGAATAAAGTGCATCTATCAAATAATGCCAATGGAGAAAGAAAATACAAATAAAAATAATAGATGAGGACTAGCCACGAATTGTTTGGGTATGGCACAATTGCCTGATCATTCTATGCACGGTTCTAAATTCGTATTTTTATAGATATATAGGACATGTACATGGAAACAGTTCTTTTAAAGAATTTGTCCTTGGTATTATTTTTAAATTTTCCACGAACACAATTAAACAGCAGTTATAGTGTTTTTCACCGCGACATCCGATCTTTATTTTCTTATCTATATTATTATTATCATTATTATAATTATTATTATTATTGAAAAAAACATATAATATTATTATTGAAAAAAATAACATACTTGCATATCTTCCACGTGTCTGGCACATCCAACCACCACCATACCATTCTTAACCAGAGCACGAGCAATGGCTTCTCCTATCCCTTTCGATGCTCCTGTTACCAACGCAACACGTCCTGCCCAGCGATCCATTTCTGAAACAACTTCATATTAAAAACCAATTTTCATTGTAAAAAACTCATAGACTCTTTGAGGCGAGACAAGGTGGCAGGACGGAGGGGTGGGGAGAGGGGGCGCAAAGCTTAACTTATTTTAATGCACTCTACAAGACGTGTTTGCATATAATACTTTTGATAATTGTGTGTGGAGCCAACGTTAGATCTGCGATCATACACATATATGATAATCTCGTATCCCCTGTTCTGGAAACCATATGTGTTAATCACATTGTTCATTACGTTACGTGCACGTATATGTCGGATGTACGGTATGTTGAATCAGAGATGTACATGTAGCCTATACAAATACACGAAGCATGTGTGGTTGTCAGCAAGTGTTTCCTCAAGAACCCTATATATTAACCAAATGCGAGTACCTACGGAAAATTCTAGTTAAAAAACTAAAATTGTCATGCTGTCAAAGATACATTTTTTTACCCCAAAATATGCAGGGCTAGATGTAGAGCCGCATTTTGCAACCGACCGCATTTTGCAACTGCAACGAATTTTGCAACCGAAGCAAATCGTGAAACGCATTTTGCAACTGCAACGCATTTTGCAACCCGGATTTTTTTCTAAGTTTCTAAAACAGTTTGAGGTACGAAACAGGTAGAAATGGAGTGGGGACGGGTTTGCTTCGACGAGGTACGCTGAAACTGGTCAGGTTGCCTCTAAGGCGGGGAAAATATATAATCTATTTCACATTGTAATTTCTTATACCATTAGGGTTAGGAAGTTGAAACGTCAGGGAATAATAAAGATATTGTTAGGCATGTACATAGGGGTGTGGCCGTCCCTAGGGGTGGTTGATTGTAATTTTACATTGTATTTTCTGTTATCTACCCTTATATCTTTAGAATTAGGAAATAAAAGCGTTGGGGATTAATACATCATCGTAAGAAATGTGCGTGGGCACTTCAGATTTTTGGGGAGTTGGGGTGTGTTTTTCTCTGGGGTGGTTGAGATCGTTAGAGATGTGCTTGGGCACAACGGAATTTTTGGTGACTTGGGGAGTGGCCGTCCCTGGGGATGGTTACTTGACTGTAATATTTTCACCGTAATTTCTGTCATCTCTTTCTCGACCATTCGAGTTAGGAACATGAGTCTTTGGTGCATGGGTACAGGGGAATTTTAG